ATATCATAATCTGATATTAATTCATTCACTAAAACAGCTTTAGAGGACAGAGACCTGATATTTAACAGCCCACATTTCAAGAGATAGAAGACTGTTTCAAGAAAGATGGGAAGGCCAATACTTGTTTGTGCTTCAAGGAGAAAGACCGGTATGTCTTTTGTGTTACGAGGCGGTGTCGGTTGTCAAAGAGTACAATCTACGCCGGCATTTTGACACCAAGCACGGAGTTAAGTACGCCAAAGCTAGCCTTCAAGAAAAGCAACAACTTGCCCAAGAATTAAAAGGCAAACTGCGGTCGCAGCAGTGTATGTTCACGAAATCCACAGCCAAAAACAATGCGGCAGTGAAAGCTAGATTTATTGTGGCTGAAGAAATCGCCCACGCTTCCAAATCTTTTTCAGAGGGAGTGTTTTTGAAGCAGTGCATGCTGAAGGTCTGTGAGCAGGTGCGTCCCGACCAGATACAGACTTTTAAAAATGTCAGCTTATCAAGAAACACCATCGCGGACCGAGTTACGGAACTAGCAGAAAACCTTGCAACACAGCTGGCCGAGGAGACACACAGCTACACAGCTTTTTCATTAGCTGTTGATGAAAGCACAGATAACACAGATACAGTGCAGTTATCAATTTTTGTTAGAGGCGTGAAATCGGATCTCTCTGTCACTGAGGAGCTGTTAGATGTAGCTGCAATGCATGGGACCACGACGGGACAGGACATTTTTGATGCGGTGGAGAAGTCCATAAGTAAAAATGCATTGCCCTGGAAAACTTGGTGGGATTAACTACAGACGGTGCACCGGCAATGTGTGGAGGAAAAGTGGGCTTGGTTGGACTAATGAAGGGAAAAATGCAAAAAATTAACTGTCACACGCCTCTGATAACATATCATTGCATTATCCATCAAGAAGCTTTGTGTGGGAAGGTGCTGGGGATGAACGACATAGTGACCACGGCGTGGCCTGAATCACCGTCAGTTCCAGCTGTTTTTGCAGGAGATGGGCTCGGAGCACGGGGATGTGCCGTACCATACAGAAGTGCGGTGGCTGAGTAGGAGCAAAGTCCTCAAAAGATTTTTTGAGCTCAGGGAAGAAATTGCTCTTTTTATGCAGAGTAAAGGAAAACCCTTGTCTGAACTGTCAGAACCAAAGTGGCTGTGTGACTTTGCTGTGTTGTGTGACATAACCAAGCATCTCGCCCAACTGAATCAGAAGCTGCAGGGACGCAAACAAGTCATCACGCAGATGTCCGACACGATCACGGCTTTCCAGCGTAAACTGGACCTATGGATATGCCAAGTGAAACAGGACAATCTTGCCCACTTTCCTGTCTGTCAGAGCATGTCAGCCTCATTTCCCGGGATATTTTCATGTGCTCAGTTGGCTACCAAACTAAGCCGGTTAAAGACTGAGTTTGATCGGCGCTTCTCTGACTTCAGAGCACAGCTGTCTGGCTTTGCCATCTTTGCCAATCCTTTCACCACCGACGTCTGCACTGCACCCCAACACCTTCAGATGGAGTTAATTGAGCTTCAAAGCGACAGTGGCCTGAGAGCAAAGTTCCAGGATGCTGCAATCCAAGACTTTTACCGTCTGCTGCCCCCTGGTCTGATGCCACAGCTTCAACTTCATGCTGCCCGTGTTCTGTCCATGTTTGGGAGCACCTATCTGTGCGAACAGATGTTTTCAATAATGAATCTGAACAAAAACAAGCACATATCACGCCTCTGATCACTGATGACAACCTCCATGCTGTTCTACGGATTGCCTCAGCACAGGACCTTAAACCAGACATTGACACACTGGTAACGGGAAATGGTGTCAGACATCTGGTCAGAAAACACACAGGTAAGCATTTAAAAAAACTTAATTAGAATATAATAAAATGTAATTCAACCAAGAAGAAGAATAGTTAAACTCTGTGTCCAATTTAATGATTGTGCTTGCATTTTGTTTTGTGTTTGTTATTTTCAGAACATGATCAATGGATGGTAGAGAGGGGATCCACTTGGTGTGTTCAAGGACAGGCAGCATCTCCTCATCAAAAACTAACCTAAAAACTTGACTAATATAGTTGTGAACTGAGTCAACCTTTATTTTGTTATTTTTTTAGTTGATTCCATATTATTTATATGTGTAGCTGCTGTTGCAATTATTTGGCGTTTGCAGGTTTTATGTGTGTATGCATATAAATTTTTGTAATCAAACCATCAGTTGGATGCAAGGCTGTGTGCAGCCTTTTTTTTTGTAAAATGTTACATCTGTCATACATGTTCTTAGCAGCTCACAATTGTTCATTTTGCAGTAATTGAGCCCATTTTAACTTTGACAAAAACGTTTTGAACAAATTTAATGTCATAACTTGTGTTTGATGTTATTTTTCTTTATTCACTTGGATAGTTTGATCCCTGATTGATGGAGTTATGTGGGTTTCATAACCTGACAAATTAGAAGGATTTATGTTATAACAGAGCAACAAGCAAACATATTTTTTCTGTGCAACTGTAATGCTTGTAACCTGTAACTTGAATAAGTAATAAATTCAGAGTTATTTAACATTAAGGAGTAGTTACATTTATTTTACATCACATTCGGTTACATTTAGTTACATTTATAAGTTACATCTGGCCCTTTGAGGACAGCCATTATGCTGATGTGGCCCTTGGTGAAAATGAGTTTGACACCCCTGGCCTAGACTATCGGGGGATTTCCCATGGTGCACTGAGCTCCTCTCTTCCTCTCTCTTTCTGCACTCATTCATGTTCCATTAATGCATGTTACTAACTTCACTTCTTCCCCGGAGTTCTTGTCTGTCTGTCTGTCTGTCTGTCTCTCTCACCCCAACTGGTCGAGGCAGACGACCACTCAAGAGCCGAAGGATCTGTCCTAGGTTTCTGCCTTTTAACAGGCAGTTTTTCCTTGCCCTTGTCGCCAAGTGCTTGCTCATGGTGGTACTGTTAGGTCTCTGTAAATAATGTTTGAAAGAGTTCAGTCTAGACCTACTCTATTTAAAAAGTGTCCTGAGATAACTTCTGTTATGAATTGGCGCTATACAAATAAAATCGAATTGAATTGAATCTATAATCTACTGTATGTATCAACTGTATGCATCTATAATCTACTGTACGTATCAACTGTACGTATCTATAATCTACTGTACGTATCAACTGTACGTATCTATAATCAACTGTACATATCTATAATCTACTGTACGTATCAACTGTACGTATCTATAATCTACTGTACGTATCAACTGTACGTATCTATAATCAACTGTACATATCTATAATCTACTGTACGTATCAACTGTACGTATCTATAATCTACTGTACGTATCAACTGTACGTATCTATAATCAACTGTACATATAAATAATCTACTGTACGTATCTATAATCTACTGTACGTATCTATAATCAACTGTTCGTATCTATAATCAACTGTTCGTATCTATAATCTATCTATAATCTACTGGACGTATCTGTAATCTATCTATAATCTACTGTACGTATCTATAATCTATCTACAATCTACTGTACGTATCTTTAATCTATCTACAATCTACTGTACGTATCTGTAATCTATCTACAATCTACTGTACGTATCTATAATTATCTATAATCTACTGTACGTATCTATAATCGACTGTACGTATCTATAATCTACTGTACATATCTATAATCTATCTATAATCTACTGTACGTATCTATAATCTACTGTACGTATCAACTGTACGTATCTATAATCTACTGTACGTATCTATAATCTATCTATAATCAACTGTACGTATCTATAATCAACTGTATGTATCTATAATCTACTGTACGTATCTATAATCTATCATACGTATCTATAATCTATCATACGTATCTATAATCAACTGTACGTATCCATAATCTATCTATAATCTACTGTACGTATCTATAATCCATCTATAATCTACTGTACGTATCTATAATCTATCTATAGTCTACTTAAATTTTAACAGCACAAGAAAAACAAAGAAACCAAACTATCAAAATCAACTCCTTGCCCCTTCAATCTGAAAATAAACAGGAACCGTATAAAGAAATGATTGATTATTGATTTTTGAGCATGCACAGGATATATACTGACAGTTATGTATACACATAAAGATAAATCTCTCTCTCTCTGTCTGTGTCTCTCGCCCAGTCATTCAGAGTTAATCACTCACCACGATGAAGCGACAGCGTTCATACAGCGACATGATGGAAACTAACAACACTCACACTGTCCATGTGTGTTCTCTGCTCATCGACACAAAACAGGAAACAGGAAACAGGAAATGGGAAGTGAGTGCATGTTTGGAGAGGAAGGACGAGGCAATAAAGAACAAGAAAACTACACAACACACAGTAGGAGTATAAAAACTGAAGATTCAAATAATATGAGAAAGAAAAGATAGAAAATAAGGGAATACAGACAGAAAGCAAAGAATTAAAGCAGAAAAGATCAAATACAAACTATATGGATGAACAGAGCAGAAGTAAAAGAAGAAAACATCTGCACAAACAAACGTAGGAAAGAGACTAAAGAACACCAAAACATACAAAACCAGGACACTGAAAGAACAACAACAAAAACAACAGCAAAGAATAAAAACAACGGTAAATAAGGAAGATGAGCAGAGAGGACAGACCGCTCACTCCGATATGTTTCCTGAGCCCTCTGTGTCAAAGATCCTCTCACAATCTGATATCTCACTCCCAACAACAACAAGCTCATTCTGAAGCTCAGAGCAGCGCGTGGTTGGTGGAAAATACCACAGTCTATTCTGGGCTGAAGGGAGGGAGACACTGACTGTGTATGAGAGAGACAGAGACAGAGAGAGAGAGAGAGACACAAACAGAGACACTGACTGTGTATGAGAGAGAGAGAGAGAGAGAGAGACACACACAAACAGAGACACTGACTGTGTATGAGAGAGACAGAGAGACAGAGAGAGAGAGAGAGAGAGAGACAGGCTGTTGGTATTACAGTACCTTCATGTTGGAGGCCTCTGTCTCCAGCTTGGTCAGGTGGTTGGAGTTGTCCTGCAGCTCCTGACGCAGGTTGGAGTTTTCCATCTTTAACACTTCGACCTGTCTCAGCAGCTGGTCGTAGGACGCTGCCGCCATGTTGGAAGACCCACAACAGACCTGCACACAAAGGATCCACCACTGTAATACTGTAACTGTAGTACTGTAATACTGTAACTGTAGTACTGTAGTACCATAATACTGTAATACTGTAACTGTAGTACTGTAATACCATAATACTGCAATACTGTAACTGTAGTACTGTAATACTGTAACTGTAGTACTGTAGTACCATAATACTGTAATACTGTAACTGTAGTACTGTAATACCATAATACTGCAATACTGTAACTGTAGTACTGTAATACCATAATACTGCAATACTGTAACTGTAGTACTGTAATACTGTAGCTCTGTAATACTGCAACTAATATTGTAACTGTGGTACTGTAGTACCATAATACTGTAACTGTAGTACTGTAATACTGTAAGTGTACTACTGTAATTGTAATACTGTAACTGTAGTACTGTAATACTGTAACTGTAGTACTGTAACTGTAGTATTGTAATACTGTAACTGTAGCACTGTAAAACTGTAACTGTAGTACTGTAATACTGTTACTGTAGTACTGTAAAACTGTAACTGTAGTACTGTAATACTGTAACTGTAGTACTGTAAAACTGTAACTGTAGTAATGTAATACTGTAACTGTAATACTGTAACTGTAGTATTGTAATACTGTAACTGTAGCACTGTAAAACTGTAACTGTAGTACTGTAATACTGTTACTGTAGTACTGTAATACTGTAACTAATACTGTAACTGTAGTACCGTAATACTGTAATACTGTAACTATAGTACTGTAGTACTGTAACTTAAGTACTGTAATACTATAATACTGTGGCACTGTAATATTGTAACTAATACTGTAACTGTAGTACTGTAATACTGTAAGTGTAGTACTGTAACACTGTAAGTGTAGTAATGTAATACTGTTGTACTGTAACTACTACTGTAACTGTAGTACTGTAATTGTAATACTGTAACTGTAGCACTGTAATACTGTAACTGTAGTACTGTAGTACTGTAATTGTAATACTGTAGTACTGTAATACTGTAACTGTAGTACTGTAATACTGTAACTGTAGTACTGTAATACTGTAATTAATACTGTAACTGTAGTACCGTAATACTGTAACTATAGTACTGTAGTACTGTAACTGAAGTACTGTAATACTGTAGCACTGTAATATTGTAACTAATACTGTAACTGTAGTACTGTAATTGTAATACTGTAACTGTAGTACTGTAATACTGTAGTACTGTAACTGTAGTACTGTAATTGTAATACTGTAACTGTAGTACTGTAATACTGTAACTGTAGTACTGTAATACTGTAGTACTGTAACTAATACTGTAACTGTAGTACTGTAATTGTAATACTGTAACTGTAGTACTGTAATACTGTAACTGTAGTACTGTAGTATCTTAACTGTACTACTGTAATACTGTAGTACTGTAATACTGTAACTGTAGTACTGTAACTGTAGTACTGTAATACTGTAACTGTAATACTATAACTGTAGCACTGTAACTGTAGTACTGTAATACTGTAACTGTAGTACTGTAACTGTAGTACTGTAATACTGTAACTGTAATACTATAACTGTAGCACTGTAACTGTAGTACTGTAATACTGTAACTATAGTACTGTAATACTGTAACTGTAATACTATAACTGTAGCACTGTAACTGTAGTACTGTAATACTGTAACTGTAGTACTGTAACTGTAGAACTGTAACTGTAGTACTGTAATACTGTAACTATAGTACTGTAATACTGTAACTGTAATACTATAACTGTAGCACTGTAACTGTAGTACTGTAATACTGTAATACTGTAACTGTAGTACTGTAATACTGTAACTGTAATACTACAACTGTAGCACTGTAACTGTAGTACTGTAATACTGTAATACTGTAACTGTAGTACTGTAACTGTAGAACTGTAACTGTAGTACTGTAATACTGTAACTGTAGTACTGTAACTGTAGAACTGTAACTGTAGTACTGTAATACTGGAGTACTACAACACTACAGTACTACAACACTACAATACTATAACTAGGGGTGGGCGATATATATCGTTTGTGATAATATCGTCGTTGTTTTGACGATGTGAAATTTTTCATTATCGAGTATTTAAATTACTTCGCCAAAAATATTGAAATGTACGCGGAAACTCCTCACATCCATTAATACACGGTGCAGCAAAGCTCTCTACAGCATGGCAGGATTCAGTCACATGACTAGCGGGCCTACGTGATCACGTGACCTCTCGCTAGCATCCTCCTTGTAACAGTTTAGCAGCGCGTTGTGATGGTAGAGAGAAAATGCAAACACCTCCAGTCCCTGAAGCTACCGGTACTTCAGATGATTTAGTGCCGATACAAATCCTACGAGCTTCTGCGTTCAGAGCGCACTCAACCCTAACCCGAACTCAGACAATTCAAATCACATTTTAAAGGATATCGACTGATTATCGTTATCACCAAAATCCCAAAAAATATTGAGATATTATTTTTTGCCCATATTGCCCACCCTTAACTACAACACTGCAATACTACAACACTACAGTACTACATCACTACAGTACTACAACACGACAACACTGCAATACTACAACACTACAGTACTACATCACTACAGTACTACAACACGACAATACTACAATACTACAATACTACAACACTATAGTATTACAACACTACAGTTTAATATTACTGATATTATTACTGACATTATTATTACTGATATTATTATTGTGATATTATTACTGATATTATTATTGTGATATTATTTATTTGAACTTGAAATTAATCAAATAATCGATGCATCACGATGCAGACATGGACAATGCTGCATCGATGCAGTGGACGACCATAATCGATTATAACGCAATGATGTCGCTTGTTAATTTTCCGGCCGTGGCATAAACATTCAAATGAAAAATAACATTCTCAGTAGCCTAACCCGTTTCATCTAGACCAGTACTTCTCAAATAGTGGGGCGTGAGAGGCAGGGGGGACTGACGGGGGAGGAGAGATGGAGAAGTTTCTGACAGGAGTAAAAAGAAAAACGGAGGAGACGTCAGAGGCAAGAACAGCAAGTGACGGTAACCGACAGAAACCTAATAAGAGCAGGAAATATGACGAAGCCTACATAGCCTTTAAGTTTACCGTGAATACGGTCGGAAATTAGGAGACCTGTGTGTGTTTTATGTTTAAAAACTCTGGCAGCGGACAGCATGAAACCACACAAATTAAGACGGCACCTGGAGAACTTACACCCCAGTTCTGTCAATAAGCCACTGGACTTTTTTCATCGGATACTCGATGAGTATCGCCAACAGGCCGGTCATTCAGTGAGCACGGCATCAGTAAATAAAAACGCACCGTTATCCTCGTACAAACACCGCCACATCACATGTGCAAAAAACCATCACACAATAGCAGAGGAGCTAATACTCCGGCAGCATTGGACATGGTCACAATCATAGGTAAGAAAAGTGCCGAGACACTGAATACTGTCCCTCTGTCTAATGACACGATCGGGAGACACGTGCGTGTGCGTGTGCGTGTGCATTAGAGGTGGGCGATATATATCGTTTGCGATAATATCGTCATTGTTGTTTTGACGATGTGCAAATTTCCATTATCGAGTATTTAAATTACTTCGACAAAAACAATGAAACGCTCGCGGAAACTCCTCACATTCATTAATACACGGTGCAGCAGCGCTCTCTACAGCATGGCAGGATTCAGTCACACAACTAGTGGGCCTACGTGATCACATGACGTGATCACGTGACCTCTCGCTAGCATCCTCCTTGCAACAGTTTAGCAGCGCGTTGTGATGATAGAGAGAAAATGCAAACACCTCCGGTCCCTGAAGCTCCCGGTACTTCAGATGATTCAGTGCCGAGACGTGGGTCCTATGGGCTTCAGCGTTCAGAGCGCTAAGCGCCTTCAGCGGTAAAAAGATGTCAGCGGAGACGTTTTTTTTTTTAGCGCAGCGCTCAGAGCGCTTCAAGTTGAAATCTGTTCAACTTTTAACACCGCTGGGCGCTCGGAAAATGAGTTTTTGAGCTCTCTCAGCGCTGTAAACGCGTTTGGTGGACACAAGTCCAGCTCAGACAATTCTAATCACATTTTAAAGGATATCGACTGATTATCGTTATCGCCAAAATCCCAAAAAATATTGAGATATTATTTTTTGCCCATATCGCCCACCCCTAGTGTGCATGTGTCTGCTGTGTTCAGACTGTTAAATAAAAAAGATTGTTTATATCTTACATATCTTATCTGGATGAAAACAACCATATGAAGTAATATAGAAAACTGTATTATACTGAACTACTACTACTATGTTTTAAAGAGTTCGGTCTAGACCTGCTCTATTTGAAAAGTGTCCTGAGATAACGTCTGTTATGAATTGGCGCTATACAAATAAAATTGAATTAGAATTACCTATACAGTATCTTAATGCATTCCGTCAAGTCAAATATCCTATATGGCTTTAATAGAAAAATGTATTTGAAGCATCGTGATGCATCGAGGAATCAAAGACATGATAATCGTAATCGAATCGTGAGATCAGTGACAATTCACACCTCTATTATTATTACTGATATTATTATTGTGATATTATTACTGATATTATTGTGATATCATTTTCACTGATATTATTACTGACATTATTATTGTGATATTATTACTGTGATATTACTGATATTTTTATTACTGATATTATTACTGTGATATTATTATTGTGATATTATTATTACTGATATTATCACTGATATATTACTGATATTATTACTGTGATATTATTATTGTGATATTATTACTAATATTATTGTGATATTATTATTACAGATATTACTGATATTATTATTGTGATATTATTATTGATACTTTCCAATAGTCACAGTGTGAAGATTTGATCTGAACACATCCCTGATACACAGTACTACTACTACTTATTACTACAGTAGTATTACAGTAAAACCACATAGTACTACATGTCAAGTACACCAGTGCAGTATTACCACCAGAAC